TATCCCTCCCTGTGCGCGCAGATCCCGTGTCTCCGCGTCTTCTCTCTTTCCTCTCCCTGTCGCCGTGTGGCCCCGTTGAGCTCCCACTTTGCCGCCACGCCGCGCGCTACCGCCTCCTCTCTGTCTATCCGCGCACGCTACCTGAATCGACTCACCCGGGATGCTGCAATTGTTGACAATGCCGGCGAGCGTGAAGGAGTGAGAGGGGGCGAGAGCGTGTGTCGCGGGACGCGCGATTCCGCATTTCGGACCCCGGCAGCCGAACGAGAGGGTGTTGCATCCGCGTACGACCTTATGAAAGTGCGAGCGCGTGCGCGCGTACGATTGTGAAAAGTCGCTATCCCTATCCCTGCCGTCATATTTTGCTCTCGTCACTCTTGCCGCAACAATTGTAAGCGTTTGAATTCGGCGATGTCTTCGCGCGTGGTGCGCGTAAGGACCTGATCGTCCCCGATCGGGCAACGGATCGCGACACCGTCGAAGTATCGCGTGGGTACCGCGCCAAAAGTATCGATCTCGCGATTGCCGTCGGTCCGCGACGAAGAGGAGGTCGCCGCTTGCTTGGAGCGGTCCTCGCGGCGGGGACCTCGGCATGGGGGCGAGTGTCGTCGAGTACGCGGCTTCACGCCCGGTTCGGATTACTCACGGTGCACGGTGATCGCGTCGTGATCACGTCGTGGTCGCGCGAATTGTATTCGAGTACACACGCTCGGGGATATTCCTGTCGGCGAGTGTCACTATCACCGAACAACGATCATGTCGCTACCCCGCGGGGTCGGCCTCGGCGTCGACGTGGGCCAATTGATGCAACATCAGCAACAGCAACAGCAACATCACGTGCTGCCAGCCGCGTTCTTCCTGCGCGCTAGTGCCGAGAGGTATCAGCGGACGCCCAAGTGTGCGCGATGTCGTAATCATGGAGTTGTATCTGCGCTCAAGGGGCACAAACGCTACTGTCGATGGCGGGATTGCGTGTGTGCCAAATGCACCCTTATCGCCGAGAGACAACGAGTCATGGCTGCTCAGGTAAGATATCTCCTGTTAGAATATCCTCGTTTTGTTCGACGTTCGACGAATGTGTCTCAACATTTTGTTCCAAACCGTCTCAAATTTTCTTTTTTTGTTTTTAAAACAAGATGTTAAATAATTTTGTAAATGTAAGTACGAAATATTTTAACTTCTGGGAATTATATTGATTTGTAATAAGAGCAAAAGTATGATAAATTATTTCTAGAGTAATATTTCATGAAAACATTAGTAGAAATGCTTTTTGATTTTTGAAAACGTTATAATTCCACTAGAATCTTAAAAGCTGTTTAATGATTTGTCATTGAAACATCAGATTTGTTGTTCAAGATGTTAAGTATTAAAGTATATTACAAAGTATAAAATATATACATGTATTAGATGTCGA